TTCCTTTTTGGCATGGCTGCTCTCAATCCTTTCATCCCCCAGCCTATATTGATACTGGGCATTGCCCTGACCCAGGTGCAGGACCTTGCACTTGGCCGTGTTGAATTTCATGAGGTTCAAATTTATGTCTCTTTATTTAAATAAACTATTATTTAAAAAAAAAAAAAGCCAAGAACTAGTGCATTTGAATGTGAATTTTGGAGAGATGAAGTTATAGTATAAAAATGCTTTTGAAATGTAGAAAACCATAAGGAAATTGTAATTTCTTTTGTAGGTGGTTTGATAAAACATTCACTCTCATAGTATTCAAAAATGGCAGAATGGGTCTGAATGCAGAGCACTCTTGGGCAGATGCTCCTATTGTTGGACACTTGTGGGAGGTAGGTGTTTAGTACAAAAAGTTAATGCAGAAGATAATGTGGTAGGGTCCGTGCAACAAGATCAACAGTTACTTTGAGTCCCTTGTATTTGTGTGGCTGATGAGTGGTTATGGGCCTGTGTCTACTTCTCCTGTAAAATAAAAAAAAAAATAAATAAAAACCCCCAAACAACCAACAACCAAAAAAACCCACCACCAAACCTGGCTTAAAAGAAAAGGTTGCTGTCCTTTTAATTTAAAGGTCTTTATTGCATTTTAATGAGCATAGATGTCTTCACAGAAACGTGATACAGCTCCCCATCTGACTTCTTTATAATATTCTAAATCAGTAAATTGTTGCTTCTTTGATATGGCATTGTATTTTGCATATATATGTGCTCCTGAAGGACTTAAGCTTTCTTATGCTATAAAAAAATCCCACACTTACTTTCAATATTTAAAGAAATGGTACAGAATTTAACTTTTCCTCTAAGCCATTGTTTGATGAGCTGCAAATTGATATGCTGTTTAAATTATCTCTTGTATTTATTTGCAATGAATGCACTTTTTGTCAGGTCTGTTCATCGTGAGCTTAGTTTATCACTTGAAATCCTATTTGATTCTTTTCTTTTTCTTTTTGAAGCTTAAACCCATAAGCGGTTACATGACTCAATCACTCAAAACTATTTCATAAACGTTAACTAATTCTGATTTCATTATGTATTTGTGCAAATGGGTCTCAGGTCTGACTGGTACCCCAAGTAATTTCCAAATTTTATTATATGAGTGTTTTTGCATGTGTGTAAGAATGAAAATCCTCTATTGCATTCTCTAACCAGGGAAGAAAGAAGGCCAAACTGATTTGAGGTTGACTTGACGGTGCAGTTAGACTTGCTCGATGGAAAAGAGTTAGCTTGTTTTCTTTTAAGGAATGAAGTTACATTCTTTATTTCATATCTCTGAGAGTTAGCTTGTTTTCTTTTAAGGAATGATGTTACGTTCTTTATTTCATATCTCTATATTTACTATTAGTTGGTTCATTTTCTGCTAAGTGTTAAGATGACTGAAATAAACTAAGTAGGATTTAATTTCCTAAAAAGTTATCTGTTGTTAGATATTTATAGATTGTCTATTTTTAGAATAGAATGGCTAAGCTTTGTTTCATACTTGGCACGTTCTGACCACTAAGTGAGAAAATTAAATTAGAAGATGAGATTAGAAACCTATGTGTAGAACATGCAATAGATTTTTGTCAAGCTTTTTCCTTCCATATTGAGCAGATTCAAATCTATTGATAATTCTGTATTTATTTATTTATTTATTTCTTACATTGGGGATGTTGTTTGATACCTTGTAAGTCAGAGCCTTTTTTGCCTGTAGTTCAAGTTGTATTGTTCATTTTGGGAACATTCTACTTCCCTACCCAAGAGCTCTAGTGCACATATAAAATACACTGCAATTCTGAGTGGGATGCAAATCTTAAAAATTATTAAATTCTTGCAGGAGTATGCACTTACTCTGAAAACCTGTTTCTTGATGAAGAAGTTTTGACAGATAACAAACTTGCAGAAATTCTCTAGAGTCTAAATTGAGTAAAGGTTGTGAAATCTGAGACTCCAAGACTGACTTTTTTTTTATTACTTTTAAGTTTCAGGTGGGTTTTTAATTGAGACATTTTGATTAATTCAGTAGCATCTAACAAAATGCACCAGTGTAGCTGAATAGGTGTTTGTGCATATCTGATACTCTTCCCACTCAGAGCACAAGTAAAAATGCCTTAAGAGATAAAACAGAGGGCTTTGCTTGCAGCTGTTTGCAGTATTTGGAAATGGAATGTATATTGTATTTCACTATGTACTGAAAATGGGTTATATTGATTTCACAGTGAAATCATAGTTCCACAGCAGTAAGTAACATGTCGCAATTCTAAAGAAGTATCGTTCTTTGCAGAATGTAATGGCAACTGAGTATCTTGAATTGGGCTATTTGGAAGATGGGCATTGCAAAGGAGATACCAATCAAAATATTCCTATTCCTACCAAACTACAGTGGGAAATTCCAGAAGAAGTAAGTACAGAACAGCTAGTGGTTTGAAGAAGTTGTTCCTCTTTTCCTGAGCAGTCAGATCATTTAAGTAATTGCTGATAACCGTATAAATCAGCTTTAAATTCTTTTGAGTCGTGTAAAATGTGGATTTCGTGTGTGGACACTACTCAGTTTACTTAAAAAGATATCAAGGTTTTTTAACATCACTCTTTAAAAATTCTGGCCAGGAAATGCCAGCTTTTTACTAGAAACTTTCTTGGTTGACAACATGTGAAAAATAAGTGGCCACCTATTTTGAACAGTAACTGTATTTAAAAAGAAGTTTAAGTTGCTGAGGTTTCATTAACTATTGTCACAACAAATGCTTTTGTGTAATAGTTCCTGGAGATTAGCTGTCTTTTTTTTGTGTTCAAAATTCTGTATACATGTCTAATAAGGTTTGAGTTGTGGGGTTTTTTTTGCCTGAGTTCAAGACAAACTGCGACCACCTATTTGGATTTTAATTTTGAATAAAAAGGTAATGGTTGGCGATATGTTTAATTAAGCACGTATGGCAGATTGAAAGCCACACACTACTATTGCCGTTCTATCTCTGTGGGTCATTCTTTTATGTTCTAGTGATCTGAACAGTCTTAATGCTGGTGGCTTTTTTCAAGTGTAATTTTTGGACTCCATATGTGTACTGGCTTAAATCTTATTTTTTGATTAGCTTTTTGAATTTTAACTTTCTGGCAAAGATAGCTTCTCTTTCTTCGAAGGGAGTTTATTTAGATGATGATGTTCCTGGCATGCATAAAGGCAGCATTTCTTATTTATCAATTAAAAATACTTGCACTTTTTCAACAGTTCTCTCAAATGCCATCGAATGTATGGATATGCACATATATGCATTCATTTATTTATTTATTATAGTGTCAAGAAGTGATTGAGAGATCTCTGGGAACTGCCATAGCTCTGGCAGATGATGTGGACTTCTATTCATTTTTCTTTGATGCCTTTGGGAAAGGACTAATAAAGAAAGCAAAAACCAGTCCTGATGCCTTTGTGCAACTTGCCCTGCAGCTTGCTCACTATCGGGTAAGATGAACAGACTGTTTCTGGCGTATAGAATCTCGTTAAATTTGGTATAGCATGTGTGTGATTAAAACATGTGACTGTGTAAAGTACTTTAGAGTAATCTTGCACTGCTTATGCAAGGTGATTAAAGACATTCAATGGAAATTGGTACAAACCCTAAACAGATTACTAACTGGAAATTAATTGTGAAGGTTGGCCATGCAATCTTTGCTCTGCTGCTTACTTGGTCTATCCCTAGGCATTTTGGACTTGAAAGAAGTAGATATGAAACTTGTAGTAGCTGTGTTTATAGTCTAAACAATGTTACAGTTTAAACAATGTTATAGTCATCTTTTAGTTTGGAGTCACCCTTAATTCAGTAGTTGTGAGCACTTCCCAACAGGATTAACAGAAATATCTGCCTGTGTTTTCTTCTGTTAGTTCACCCTTTCTATAACTTGCTTTCAGAAAACACCAGTGTAACAACGTGCATGTTTTTCATTTTGCTTTATAGTTTTCACTGTTGAGATACTGTTCTACTATTTATTTTTTTTTTTTAGAAAGTAAATCCAAATGGTTTTTCAAAGCATCCAAATTCCCTGGCTGCTATCACCACTTACAGTCTTTCTTACTGTTGGTTAGGGTGGCTACATGGCAAATAGTTTGGTTACCCACCCTCCCCTTTTCTTTTGAACACCCATCCTCTTAATCTAAAACTGAACAGACTTTCACGATCTGTTCTGATGTATATTTTAGACAGGTAGAGTTGCTAACACGTTTTATAAACTTCTATCATTTGGCAATTTTTAGTCTGTAGATTGTGCACATCTACAGGAAATACAGAAGCCACACTTCCTGGATTTTGCAGATTGTCTTCAGTTCTCACATTCTTGAAAATCCCCACACTGGCATGTGTCTCTATGCTATTAAGATTTTAACTGAAAATACTATTAAGAGTGTTACAGTTTTCTTGATTACTTACCACAGCTGTGTTAATTAGGAAGCCACTGAAATTTCGAATAGTTTTTTGATAGCCTTTAAATCAGCTTCTGTTATAAATTGAACAAGACTGAATCTGAAATGCAGAGGGTAGTGCTTGCTAGTTTGGTTGTTCTATTAGCATTTATCAAATGCTGCTACTAATCTTACTTTTGCCTTTATTATCTTTAGGTAAGACTGCTAATGGTGGGCTACTAAAAACTTAATGTTGAGTTTAATTTGTGGAGTGATTCATATCCTGTATGCTTACTTTGAACTGTTGATTAAGAAAGAGGGGCTAAGTCTGGCTAAACCTTTAAGTTCTTGTTTTTCCTTTTTCAAGGACATGGGAAAATTTTCTTTAACATATGAAGCCTCTATGACACGCTTGTTCAGAGAAGGCAGGACCGAAACTGTTCGTTCGTGTACTGTTGAATCATGTAAATTTGTTCGAACGATGGAAGACCCAACTGAAAGCGTAAGTCCATGATGTTGTTGCCTTGTACAATCCATAAGGCACATGAGTTATCACTAGATATCCGTAGAAGTTCCCAAATAGTTTTTAAACACTGAGTGATGCCCTTCTTTTTTAGGAAGGAAGTGCAGCATAAGGTAATTGTCCATGCTTTCTGTCAATATGGCAGAAATTCAAGGCTATACCAAAAAGAGTGGCAGTAATTTAACCAAATATGCCATTTCTTACAGTTCCTGAACTCCAGAAAACTGAGATAATGTGAAATTTTTGTGACTTGTAAAAACTCGAACATAGACTTGTAAAACCAGTAATCTCATACCAGTTAGGCTTTCCTTTCTGATAGGAAATAAGTACTACTTATTCACAGGAAATAAGTAGTTGCTCTTACATGTTGATTTCAGTGGCTTTTTAAATCTTTCTTGTGGTGTTCTGATTAGCGAACAAAGGAAACATGGTCTAGGGGAAAACTTTTTGGTTTGGAAAACTTGGACGATGCTGGTTAAAATGTTTGCTGTCAAATTGGAAGGATGGAGGATGATCATAGTGAGGGCTGTCGTTCTTTAATCCACTGCTAGTCACACAGTTTTCACAGATATGGTTGATGAAATAAATCATTACATTTGCAGATTTTGCTAAGCTGAGAGGGATTTCCAGTTCTTCAGACTCAATAAAAGTTTGACCTGAAAAAGAGGATTTTGTTAAATCAAAATGTAGTCTCTGCAGTTAACATCTGCATTTTTGTTAAAGGACTAAGATAGCCCCATACATGACCTCAGCCACCCCTCGTGAGTCTTGCACCAGGAGTGGGACAATCCCTTCCCTCGACCAGC